AGAAGTTCTTGGTGAGCAGGGACTGCAAGTTCATGGAGAACTTCATGTACAAGGATTGGAAGGCGGAGAATGAGGCGAAGATAGGCGTGCGGTTTGGGGAGGTGAAGAGTTCCGGTTTGGAGCATGTGGAGCTGCCTTTGGAGCTGAGCAGCGGCAGCACAACCACAAGGCAATCCTCCCTTGTGAATGGGGGAGAGGAGGCCAATGATGCAGAGGAAGAAGAGGAGGAGGTGCAGCAAGTGAGCGAGCGTGCACCGTCACTCCCTTCCCGTACTACGAGTGCTCCACGGATTCGAGCCACACCGCAGCAACGCCAAGGCCTTCAAGTCCCTGTAGCTGAGGAGGAAGGAAGGGGGAAGAGGAGAGTTCAACGCCCTAATAGGCTGACCTATGATGCGCCGGGAAAGCAGGGCAAGACAGCCCTGGCCGGAGCGGCAATGATGGTCGGAGACGACGAGGAGAGTGACTACGAGGAGTGTGCCTTCGCGTTCTTCTCTCCGGTGGAGATGCCGGGAGAACCAGCAACTCTCAAGGAGGCTTTGGAGAGTAGTGATGCTGAGGAGTGGAAGAAGGCCATGGAGAGTGAGCTGAAGAGCATCGAGGAGAATGACACGTTTGAATTGGTGGAGCTACCGGAGGGGCGTAAGGCGATTACGTCCAAGTGGCTCTTCAAGATCAAGTCCGACGCCGATGGCAAGATCGAGCGCTACAAGTCTAGGCTTATGGCGAAGGGGTACCAGCAGAAGGAGAAGGTGGACTATAAGGAGTTGTTTGCTCCTGTGGTGAAGCCGACGACGCTGCGAACCCTACTCGCGGGAGCTGCCATCAAAGGATGGGTAGTAAAGCAAATGGACATCGTAACGGCATTCCTTAACGGCATCCTTGAGGAGGAGATTTTTATGGCGCAGCCAGAGGGGTTTGATGATGGTAGTGGCAGAGTGTGGAAGCTGAAGAAGGCCCTCTATGGGCTGAAGCAGGCCCCTAGGCAATGGTACATGAAGCTGCGCGAAGTGTTGGAGGGGATCGGCTTCACTCCCTCAACGGCCGATCACTCCTTGTTCATGCTTGGCGAGGGGGAGCAGAGGAGTTTCATGGTGGTTTATGTGGATGACATCCTCATTTTCTCACCCTCTTCTGACCTTGTGAAGGAGGTGATGCTGAAGCTTCAAGACAAGTTCAAGTGCAAGGCCCTTGGTGGCGTGAGCTTCTACCTTGGGCTCCACATCGAACGAGATGTGGAGAAGCGGTGCATGCGGGTGCATCAACGAAAGTACCTGGAGGCATTGGCTGCCAACTTTGGGCAGAGTGAAGGCCATGTGGCTACACCCTTTCCCTCTAGGTTCAAGTGTGTGAAGGGACCAGAGGAGGAGAGCGTTGGTGAAGAGGAGAGGCGCCGATTTCACTCGTTGGTGGGCAGCCTCATGTATGCGGCGGTAAACACCCGACCGGACGTCGCGTTTGCTACCGGGCAGCTGGCTAGGGTTGTGCAATGCCCTAATGAGGAGCAGGTAGCAGCTGGAATGAGGGTAGCCAAGTATCTTGGCCAAACACCGACCGTTGGGCTGCAATACTCGGCGGCGGCACAAAGGCGCCAAAAGGGCGCGGATGGTGTTGAACCCGGGCGTTTGTTCCTCACCGCCTACTCGGATGCTTCATATGAATCAGAACCAGAGGACATGACAAGTGTGGAAGGCTTCATATGCTGTGTTGGTGGAGGCCCAACTGCTTGGGAGAGCAAGAAGCAGGTTGACCAAGCTTTGAGCTCGGTGGAGTCCGAGTACATGGCACTCTTCCGTGCCGTACGGGAGATTGTGTGGCAGCGGCGTTTGTTGGCTGAATTGGGGGAGGAGCAGCAAGGACCTACCCCACTGTACTGTGACAGCCAGGGTGCCATTGCTCTTGCTAAGAACCCTGTGTTGCATGGACTCACGAAGCACATGAGGGTGAAGTGGCATTGGACGAGGAGCATGGTAACCGCGGGTGAAGTTGAGTTGCGCTACGTGAAGACCACGGGGCAGCCGGCTGACATGATGACCAAGAGGCTGGTGGAGCAGCAGCATTGGAAGTGTTGCAAGCTGGCTGGGATGGCTCTGAACTGAGAGAGCAACATATCCTAAGGCCAACAATCCGAGGGGGAGTTTGTTGGTGCAACCCTACGGTTTGCACTCGGCTTGTTGTCCGTGTGCGTGAATGTGTGTGTGTATGGAATGGTATGAGGGCATGGGATAATATATATTTCATGCTTATAATTGTGTGTGAATGTTGAGTCATGATGTCGAGTGTGTGTGTCGAGTCAATAGCGAGTTATCGCTAGACGCGTGTTACGCGGTCGTTTGTGTCTCGCGCGCGGTTTCTATTTTGTCGTGCGCGGTTTCTATTTTGTCCTGTGTCGAACGTTCGGCGTGTCGCAGGTGTGTGCAGCAGACCCATCAAGAACTCAAGGATGAGTTTGTGATGAAGAGCCCGAGCCTTGGTGTCAAGCCTCAAGTGATTTCGAAGCTTGCCAAAAGGGTACACCTCAAGATATTGAAGATAGTTACATTACTTTGTGTAGTGTAACATTTCACTTGGTGTAGGCCCTAGTGAAGGGTAGTTTCGAGACCCTTCGTGGTTGGGGACAGTGTGGCACTGTTCCACATCACTGTACCTCGGCTCTTGGGGTTTGTATGAGCTGGGAGTCATTCCCGACTCGTAACTCTTCCTATCTTGTGTTCTAAGACTATAGTGGCTGCCATAGTACCGTTCGTTCAAACCGACGCTGTGTCGTCAATTCTTTATGAAATCGTGCAATCTAAATTGCTTATTGTAGGCGACGTCAAGACGCTCCAGATCCAATTTGAATCAAGTCATTTGCAGCTGTGAGCAGAACGCTATCAACGTTTGAAGCCGCTGTGCAGAAATCCGTCTGTGCACTCTATCTTTCGTTTTAGGCACATTCAAGGCTATTGTGACTATAACACTAGCTGGGTGCAGAAACACTGGTGGTCACAAGGCGGCAACGCCCTGGTGAAGATATATGCAGTGTTGGCCTCAGAGACCACACGTACCACACGGGCCTGGCCACGCTGCTGCAACTCGCGCAGAAGGAAGTAACGAAGCTGGATGTGCTTCGCCTTCCCAACCAGTCGGGGCACCTCGCACAACAGGAGAGCAGACCTGTTGTCGGCGAACAAGACTGGAAGAGAGTGAGGCCGCTCACCAAGGTTGGTGAGGAGGAAAGACAGCCAGCGAAGCTCCTGGGCGGCCATGGCCGCAGCGTACACCTCTTCCTCATAGCTGGAACTGGAGACTGACGAGGCCCCAGTCGACCTCCACGAAACAACTCCGGTCCCCAGACTGAAGCAGTAACCCTATGTAGACCGCAGCGACTCTGCGTCGTCGGCCCACGACAAGTCCGAGTAACTGGCTGCTTCCCTCCAAGGACAAGTCCCATGCCTGATGTACTCGCCACAAACTTCGCCACCCTCTTAGCCGCATATCAGTGGGAAGGTCGTTGTCTCTCAGGGGTAACAAAGCGCGCCAGGACGCTAAGAGGGTAAGCTAGGTCTGGGCGAGTGCAGGTCATCAGGTACATGAGACAACCCACCAACTCAGGATATGGACCGCTGGACTCAAATGGCTCGTCCAAAGGTGGAGCCGTGAGCCCATGATCCACAGCAAGAGGGGTGAGCTCTACCTTGGAGAACGGGAAGCGGAACCGCGTGAGGGTCTGCTCGACCATATGCGACTGCGTCGGCCTTCCGTCGCAAAGGGAAAACCGTGGTGTAGCGGGAGTAGTCGTCCACCACCATCAGGAAGTAGCGCTCCTGACGTGGGCCAAGGACCGGGGAGGGGCCCTAGACGTCCAAGTGCAGGGTCTAGAAGTGAGCCGTGGTGGGGGGGGACGAGGAGGAATGAGGGGCAGCGCCCTGCCGACCCTCGACGCAAGGAGTGCACGGCGGCGCAGGCGAGCGAGAAAGTGGGGCAAGCGACTCTGGGAGACCTGAGACCAGACGGTGACGTACCATCCTACTGAGACGTAGGAATGACGGGTGACCTAGACGGTGGTGCCAAAGGACGGACGGGTGGGTGAGTGACCGACAGTCGCACGACACAGCAGCTACCTGACCTGACCTGACCCAGTGTGGTGGGACACAGTGAGTAGTGAGTACAGATTAGAGCCCGGCTCCCTTTGAAAAGTGGCCAAAGGGCCCCCAGTGGCACCGACTGTGTAGGAGGCAACAGGCTCGTCCAGTGGGAAAGTAGTGACTACACCTAGGTCGTGAAGGTGACTTACACCCACCAGGTTCCTGGAGAACGAGGGGGTGTAGTAACCTGTGAGAAACCCAGAGGGAGCCGCCGGACACGGGAGGGTGGTGGTGCTGTAGGCAACTACAGGTCCCACAGAGGGGTCAGCCAAGGCGACAGTGACTGGAGTGCGCAGTGGTGTGAGGTCAGTACAGTCGCGAAAGAAACAGCTGGACGCTCCAGAGTCTAGGGTGAAGGAAAGTTGTGCAGTCTATGAGGTTGCACCCGAACCAGCTACAAGGGCTAGTGCTAGACTAGTGGTAGCTGCAGCTCCTACACAAAGACCCTGAGAGGCGCCTGGACTGGAAACAACACACGCACCAAGACTGGAAACACAGGTCTCTACTCGTGCAGCCAGTGCGCTGGCGAAGACGCGAGGGCCAGTGCGGTGTAATAGCGTGAGGACCAAAACGCTCACGGTGGAGGTCGTCGAGTCGACGGTAGCAGCTGGACGCAGAGTGGTCAGGACTCCAGCAGGTAGTGCCAGCACCAGGGCCTGTCTGGGCCCGGTACCCGCAAGGGCTGACGTCTCGCCCACTGCTAGCTGAGCCACTACTGGGAGCGCCACACTTTGGACCCGCAGGTCCCCACTGCCGGGAGTGCTGCGGCTGGCCCTGCTGCTGTAGAACTCTAGTACACGCCATGTGAGGAGCTAGAAACGGGGGGTGCGCTGGCGGTAGCCTAAGCTGCCGCTGGTACGGTAGGGGCAGCCTATGCTGCTGCTGGTTCTATTGGGGGCAGCCTATGCTGCTGCTGGTGCGCTGGGGGCAGCCTATGCTGCTGCTCGTTCTGCTGGGGGCAGCCTATGCTGCTGCTGGGTCTGTTGGGGGCAGACTAAGCTGCTGCTAGTGCGCTGGCGGCAGCCTAAGCTGTTGCTGGTGCGCTGGGGGGGGGAAGAGGGGGGGGGGGGGGGGGGGGCAGCCTATGCTGCTGCTGGTTCTTATGGGGGCAGCCTATGCTGCTGCTGGTTCTGCTGGGGGCAGCCTATGCTGCTGCTGGCTCTGCTGGGGCAGCCTAAGCTGCTGCTGGTTCTGGTGGGGGCAGCCTATTCTGCTGCTGGTTCTGATGGGGGCAGTCTAAGCTACTGCTGGTGCTGCTGGTGGAAGTCTAGGCTGCTGCTAGTGCGCTGGCGGGGAAGCTGCTGCTGGTGCTACTGGCGACAGTGGAAGCTGCTGCTGGTGCTACTGGCGGCAGTGGAAGCTGCTGCTGGTGCTACTTGCGGCATGGTAAGCTGTTGGGGGAGGCGAGTTTCAGCGTGGGGTGGCGGTTTCAGGTGTGGGGCGGCGGGTTTCAGGTGTGGGGCGGCGGGTTCAGGTGTGGTGCGGCGGGTTTCGGTGTGTGGCGGCGGGTTTCAGGTGGGGGGGCGGTTTCAGGTCGTGGGGACGGTGGGGTTCGGGTGGTGCGGCGGTTTCAGGTCATAGGGACGATCAAGGTAGCTGGCGACGGGTGGGGAAGGGCACGGCTAACGGCTGTGACGTGTGCGCGACTGCTGCTACGTATGCGTACGGTCGCGGCGTACGCGCGCGCGGCTGTGCGCGCGGCTAATTCTACGCGTGCAGCTACGCGCGTGATTCTGCTGCGCGCTAGCGGGCTGGCGGGCAACGCGCGGGGCAAAAACAGGTGGGGAGCGAGGAAAAAAATGGGTGACGCGTGGCGGCGACGGGGGGCGCCATCTACGGGCGCTACGGGGGCGTGATCTACGGGCGACAGGGGGCGCGATAGACGTGCGCTACGGGGCAGGGCGCTTCGGGCTACGGGTCACTACGGGAACGGGCGGGGGACGGGACGGTGGGCCCTTAGGATCGTTCGCTCTATACCATGTTACAATATCAATTACTGGATGAATTGACTAAGGAAAATGAGAAACAAGCAAGATATAGCAAGCGTAACCCTAACCCTAGGAAAACGTTAAAGTACACCTAGACTAACACAAATAAGCTATAACAAATATAGCTTGACACTTTGCACCGACCTTCGCCCCTGCTCGACGAAGCTGTCGTCGACGTCGACCAAGGTGGTGGCTCTGCGGACGATCGCTTCAGTGACGAAGTCGACCCCCAACCGGTGGCACGCGAGGCTCGCGCACGTCGGCGTCGACACGATCAAGAGCTCGGCGAGGCACAAAGTCGCCACCGGCCTCGACATCCAGCTGTCGACCGGGGCCGACTTGCCGTGTGTTTCGTGCATCGGCGGGAAGCTGGCGCGGCACACCTTCCCCGACAAGGGTTCGGACGCCGAAGAGGCCTTGGCTGTCGTGCACATTGACTTGTTCGGGCCATTCCGGGTGGCTGCCAAGGACGGCAGCCTTTACTTCCTCCTGCTGAAGGACCGCCACACTCGGTATGTGTGGGTGAAGCCGGTCGCTAAGAAGAGCGACGTTCTGCGGGTGTTCGAGAAGTGGCTGCTCGTGGTAGAGCGCCAAACAAAGAAGACGGTGTTGATGCTCCGCTCTGACCGCAGAGGAGAGTTCCTCGGCCGAGAGTTCACCGGATTCGTCGACGGGAAGGGCATCGTCCACGACTTGACGTGCCTGTACACCCCGCAGCAGAACGGCATGGCGGAACGAGAGATGCGGATGGTGGTCGAGTCAGTGCGGACGATGCTGCTGCACATGGGCGTGCAGCACCACTGGTGGCATCTCGCCCTGCGACAGGCCGTCTGAATACGCAACTGCTTGGAGCGGTCGACGACACCGCCAGCGACGACTCCGTACCAACTGCTGACCGGCAAGAAGCCCGATCTCACGCTGGCGCGGGTGTGGGGCTGCATGGTGCAGTTCATGGTCCCCGAGCAGCAGCGCGGTGGGAAGCTGGCGCCGAAGGCTCGCTGGGGACTTCACCTGGGGATGTCGCAGGAGAGAAAGGGCTGGGAGGTGCTTGAATTGACCGACAGCAAGGTGGTCATGTCAGTCAAGGTCATCTTCTACGAGCCGTTGTCGCTGGAGGACTGGAAAGTGAAGTATGGGCCGGTGTCGGGGCGGACGCAGGCACACCCGCCGACGGACACCTCGACGGCGACGTTCCCTCTGCTCGCTGAGGTCGACGAACCCGATGATGAGGATTTGAGGAAGTCCCAGCCTCTCCTCCTCCCCATGTTCCCGTTGCTCCATCCCGTGTCGCGGACCTGCTTGCGCCGACACCGCTGTTTGCCACCGGCGATGACGGGAGCCTCGAGGCGTCGCGTGTGGCGCCGTCCTGTGGTATCGCCGGCGGCCGACGTGACGCCAAGCTTGTCAACGGGAATGTGCAGCCGTCAACGAAAGGGGAGCAGCAGACAGGGGAGCAGGTGCGGAAGGAGGCAGCAGAAGTGCCACCGACAGGGGAACGGCAGACGGGGAAGTCGACAGGGGAGCTGTCGACGAAAGAGAAGTCGGCAAGCGGGCCGACGGGAGGGGAGCAGCCGGTCGAAGGGCCAACGCTGGCGAAGCAGCTCGTCGACGAGGAGGATGTCGACGATGAAGGGGAGCTGTCGGCAGGGGAGGAGTCTACCGACAGCGACGTGGTGGAGTTTCCGGTCGAGAAGCCGGAACTGCGACGCTCAGGCCGAAGTCGGAAGCCGCCGGAGCAGCTGAGCTTTCACGCCTGTCTGCCACCAGCCCTTCACCACACTGCTCGACGATGCTGAGGCCGACGTCGACCTGCCCGAGCTCGACCCTAACGTGCACGCCGACCCTGATCACCGCTGGGACATCGCGACGATGACGGTGAAGGAGGCGTTGGCGAGCTGGAAGGGCAAGGCGGTGAAGGCCGCCATGGACGAGGAGATCCGCAGCCTCATCGGCATGGGCACCTGGGAGCTGGTCGAACGCCCACACGGGGTGAACATCATGACGAACCGGTGGGTGCTGATGACGAAGTATCACATTGACGACACGGTCGCCCAGGAGAAGCAAGGCTGGTCGTGAAGGGCTTCACGCAGGTGTACGGTGCCGACTACGACGAGACGTATGCGCCAGTTGGGAGCTACGTCACGCTGAGGATCTTCCTCAGTATCGTCGCCGTCCTCGACTTGCACCTGATGCAGCTCGACATGAAGAACGCCTTCCTTCAGAGCGAGCTCGATAGGTTGCTGTACATGAACCAGCCGGACTACTACGATGACGGGACCGGCCGGGTGTGCAAGCTGCTGAAGAATCTGTACAGGCTGAAGCAGTCGCCGATGTTGTGGTACAAGGCGCTCGACGACGTGCTGACTGGCACCGACTGGAAGAAGAGCCAGGTCTATTAGGCGCTGTACTTCAAGGTCGGCGACGATGGAGTGACTTGCTGGGTGCTCGTCTACGTCGACGACCTGCTCGCCGCCAGAAGCAGCAGCACCGCAATGCTGAGGGAGCTGAAGGAGCTGCTGGAGGCTACCTTTAAGATGCGCGAGATCAGCCGGTCGAGAAGTACCTCGGGCTGGAGATTGTGCGCAACAGGCCGACGACGAAGCTGTGGCTGCACCAGCAGTCGTACGTGGACAATCCGCGCAGGCGTTTCATCGACGAGGAGCAGACCGGACGTATCCTGGAGACGCGGGTCTCCGTCGACGCCTACGGCGAGCTAACTTTCGACGACGAGGATGCTCAGGCGCGCGAGGAGGAGGAGTACCGGCAGAAGGTCGGCTCGCTGCAGTTCGCGGCAACGACGACGAGGCCGGACATTGCCTTCGCGTGCAGCAAGCTGGGGAGTGGTCTGACGGTGAGGAGTGACCAGCACTGGCGTGAGGTCGACCGTTGCCTCGCCTACCTCACCATTACCTGTGACACCGTCCTGGTCGGCTATGTGGACGACGACGACGCCGTCGACAAGCAGAACAGGACGAGCACGGGCGGCTACGTGCTCGTCTTTGGAGGGGCCGCCGTCTCCTGGTCGAGCCAGCGCATCAAATGCGTGACGCTCTCGTCGACCGAGTTGGAGTACGTGGCGGCCACCGAGGCCGGCAAGGAGGGACGCCGCCTTTGCTTCCTCCTTGCAGAGTTCCAGCTGCTCGACGCTGGGACACCGACCGTCCTTCGGGTGGACAACACGTCGGCCATCACGGTCGCTGAAGGCTTGGGGCTGCATGGCAACCTCAAGCACATGGAGCGACGCTACGCCTGGCTCAAGCAGATGGTGAAGCGCGGGAAGTTCGCACTGCGGTATATTCCAAGTACCGCGCAGCCGGCTGACTTCCTGACGAAGGCGCTGCACTTTCCGGCCTTCAACCGGTGCTCCGTTGCAATCGGCCAAGTGCGCCTGGCCGACGTCGGCGACGGTGCCGACGACGTGCAGTGGTAGGTGCCATGCCCTTCTGCATGGCTGGTGCATAGGTCGACGCCGGGCTGGGAGTGCAGGTTGACAGGGTGGTCGACCTGCGACCGACCTCTGCGATGCCGCCGTCGTCGAGAGCCGGCGGTCGATTTCGACGGGTGTGGTCGACGAAGACGATCGTCTACCTGCGTGAGGTTGTCGAAGAGGCTGTCGACGGTGGGAGTTCGACGACAGCAGCTGACCGTGTTGGTCGACGGAGGGGTCTGTCGACCAGGGTGTTCTTCGACGGGATGAGTGGTCGACGGGGGAGGCCGTCGACCAGGGCGCCGGGTGGTCGAACCGGTCGACCGGGTAACCTGCTCAACGAGGATCTGCGGAGGCACGCGAACGTCGTCGAGCCTGCGATGGCGAAGGCGACCTCGGGCTGGTATCCCGAGGTCGATGTGGCTGATCAGGCGCAGACAGCAGCCGACGGACACATGACGGTGCACCTCGGGCCAATCGTATGCGAGCACCTGCGAGCACGTGCGCTGCTGTCATATACGGGTGCAACGCTGGACGGCCGCCTTGCTGCAGCATTGGCACGCCGTCGACCTGCTCTGTTGGCAGGCCACCTTTCTGCAGCGCTGGCGCGGTTCCTCTACGCAACGCTGGCAGGCGGTCGACCAGCTGCGCTGCAGGGCTGCTATGCTCTGATGTAGTCATTCGTGCCATTGCCTTTGCTATCATTATGTAATCCCAACTTTGCTAGTGAAACTCGTGCCAATTCTTCCCGTGATTGTGCAAGTGCTAGAGAAAGCAGACAAAGCTACGATCACTCCTAAGACTCGTGCCAACCGCCCCGTAGTCTAGCTCCCGACTGTTGTAGAGTGAATCTCCGCAGCGAACTCCATCGTAGTCGGAGTGAAATAATCGTATATATTTCACAAACCGACCGCTTCGCAGCCCACCAAGTCTATCGCTCCCCTTTCAGAAAACTACCCCGGAAACGCGCGGGTAACCTAGGAAAGTAGCTAGGATACCAAGTGTTTATGAGATGAACAATAAGAAGAGTGCGGAGAATGCAATATTGCGGAAGTGATTACAACTACAGTACTGATGAAATAATGAAGCCTAACACAGATATAGCGAAAGGCTAGCTAGGCGGGGTTCGCGGGGTCGCGATGGATAGGTGCTGGTTCGGGGTTGTCAAACCCGAAGGCGCCGCGAGGGAATTTCGAGAGGCGAGGTCATCGGACCGAGCCTAATCTTCCGAAAGTTGAGTTGTACGCGTACGGAGTGTACCAGTAAGGGATTGGGAAAATTCCTTACAAATTTGACCTGATTGGTGATGAGTATGACACGTCCTAAGGGCTACTGTAACTTCCGAAATCTTATGCAGAATCACTTGTTTCAACATTTCTTGTACGGTGGTGACTAGGGCCTATCTTTCGGTTTTGGCTACTCATGATTAGCAGTGTAGCCA